ATGGGCACCACATAGTTACCATGATCATAGAAGCTGCTATGGAACCACCATAGCAAAGCTGCCACAATGCAGCCATGGTATAGCGGCCAAGCTAAATGGCCTTTGCATGATTAATATTTCCCAATAACTATTGAAAACAAATTAGTCCTTTCCAATTATATAAAGATGGCTGATAATGAACAGCATAAGAAATGAGTGGATACAAATCAAACAGCAATTCGACTTACTACAAGTAATTGTAGAGATATGTTACGAACGCAATTTTATGTTATAACATCCTGTTCACAAGCAGTAGTTGAACTTTGATTGAGTATGCACAGCGAAAAGAAATGCAAATTCAACACAGAATAAACTTGGAGTTGGAGATCTAGGGTACAAATCAATAGTCAATTTCAATATTTATAATTCCAACATAAATCCAAGGCTTCAAAGATTTTATTTCAAACTTCTACTTTCATCAAAGTCACATAACTCCCTCAATAATCAACGTGAAGTTAGCTTACCCTCTTCAGAGTTTAGATTGACAACTCTCACAATAGTCTTGCCTATTTAACCATCAAACAAGAGCATTTAGAAACAAGATGCACACACATTCACAACTAACAGAGATATATTCACACCAATAAGAAACCCTAAAAGCTTCTAAACCACAAGAAAAAAAACACAAAGTCACAGCAAGGGGAAAAAGAGCTAGGAAAACACAAACTTGGAGAGAATCTGGCGGTCGAGCTCCATCTTCATCGGAAACGCCGCCCCGTAAGTATTCGCCAGTATTTTCTTCTTCAATTCTTCTTCCCTCGCCTTCGCCTGCTCATCGATTAGCGAAAAAAATAAAAAATCAAAATTAAATTGAATTAAAAGCTCGAAAATCAAACAAAACAATGGATAATCAAAAGCGAGCAAAACGAAAACATAAAGATATACAGTGCGCTGGGCAGATTCAAGGGGGTGAGGCTCGATGATATCACTCTTCACACCGTGAATCCCATAGCGGAGTGGATCGTCGACGCGGCCTTCGAGTGGAATCATCTTCACGGAGTCCATTGTTACGGCGAAGTATTTCGAGCTCAGATTTCCTTTTCGTTGAAAAGTGAATTAGATGTAATTGCACAGAGAAAGTTTGGAGAAATATATACGATTAAGAGAAAAGTTGCAGAGCTATCTTTTTACACAAGACAATGACGATTTTTAAGTTGTGTGGGCTTGACCGGCCCAATTGATAGAAGTTAAAAACTGTTTAAAAAGGCCAATTTACATTCATCCCATGGCTTTA